GTTACATACATGTTGGTTCGAAAGTTCCATACACAGTGTCAGTCAAGCTTACATAGTGAAATGGGATACGGTACACACACATGTAAAAGACATGCTTCTGATCTACCATGTGCGGCGGCATGCTGAGACCATAAGTTCTGAATGCAGTGCGGCCATACCCTAAACTCTGGTGATTCGGATACATATATTCTTAACTCTTGTCCATCATTTGGGATAGGCATGGTGACATCTACTCATGCTTTCAAACGAATGCTGCAAACATGCTTGTAGGGAAAAGATGTAGTATATGGAATGAATGACGGATACCGATTCAGTACAAGTTGGTTTGGAGCTGAGCGCAGTTATAAGTGTTTAGCCACCCTGCTATTTCAAGAGTGATTTTCGCTGTGAAACATGCGAAAATACTGTAAATATGGGGCCCCCAGGGCGTCCCACCCTCTATTCTTAAGCAGCATGGCAGCAAGAGGCATGCACCTAGCAGTGCAGGCCCCAGGGGCATTTATAAATCGAGCTCATAGCCGACCGCGATGTCAGCCCACCCCAACACCTGAGGTGTCCAATCACATGTCCACCATGGCACACGCCTGGCTTCAGAGATTCGACCCGGAGATTTGGCAGGAAGCAGGCAAGATCGGACAAGCGGGACAGTTACAATTAAGCATTCGAGGTGTCACTGCACCGAGTCGAGTCGAAACATCTGCAAAGTCCAAGGTGACTTAGATGGAGCCGGAGATGAATTGGCAGAAGACATGCCTGTTGCACCTTTGTGACACTTTGCCGAGACCTGGTGCTGTCTAGCCTGCATCGTTGGTCTAGCCTGGACTAGCCAGCGCCAGAGCTCAGTAGTTCAGCAGGCAGACTAGCCTTGTACCTGACGGACATTGCGGGTTCATGTGGAGATGATGTGTGTGCCATGGTGTGCCATGAGTGTGACTCCTTTTGAACAGTCCTTTTGCGAAAGAGGAAGGAAGGAGAAAGTCAGACTCTTGGCACCGGCGTGAGGTTCCCCCCTGACGTCACTAGAGCTCGAGCAGTCCACCCTGTTCTTCTTTCAGGAATGGACATCGTGCAGTTTGGGGAAAGCTTCCCTTAATCTTTTCGGATTGTCCATGCTAAATTGCATTGATGTACAGTCCCAGCTTGAATCAGTGGATTGCCAGTGCAGCGCACGAAATGCGTGGCTTGCAGTCACGCAGCGTGCGATGTGAGCTAAAATGGCCCGAATCGAAGAATCAAGTGGACCCCTGCTTACGTAGGAGCTTACATGTTAAGGCACCAGAAGGATCAACTGCCGCACCGATACACGCGTCGTTAACGCCAACGACGAGCAACGAGTAACGTTGCGGTTGAGGATCCCCAAAACCCATCACCTGGCACTCGATGCTGACAACTACGACGAAACGTGGCTACGTGTCAGGATCCCCATGGACTCGCCCGATTGCGACGCTGCGGTGCCTTGGTCCTGCGGTCGGAGGACGGAGTTGGACCGCACAGAAGCCTGTCAAATTCTGCTCTAGTAGTTAAGGCGGCTTCTCTTGCTAGGCTTCGCAGCAGTTCCTCGACCGAGTGGCCGTTTGCTTGGCTGCTGATTGCAAGTTCTTTGAGGGTACACGCACACAGTCTGTCTCAGCCCTGGCAGTGGGAGTTGCGCTCTGAGAAGCTAGAAGAGACTAGGGACCGGAGAGATGAGAGAGTGCGGCATTGCAGCTGCCACAAGATTGCAAGCCACGACGCGGTCGGGCTGCCATACGAGCACTGGGAGGCAGGAGTTTGGCTAAGCGGCTCAGCTCGAACTTCAAGTCCCGACTTTGTTGGAGGCTTGCTGATCCGTGCAGGCACCAGAAGTGATGAGGAGGTTGAACTTTGATCTGCAGAGCTATGGCCCCCAGGCAGGGTTGTGTGAAGCGAAGTTCAGATAGAAGTACCATACACCAGCTTGCAGACTCGTGTACAGACGCAAGTCAACCCTTCTGGTTTGCTCTCTAGAGAGCTGCCTCTTGGTCGTGCACTCGGGCTGCCCCAAGACAAACGAACACATCGGGGACACGCACACGCACACGCACGCACACGCACGCACACGCACGCACTCACTCACACACACAGACACACACACACACACACACTCACTCGAACTCCAGGCAAGCCCTGGTGTGCACATCTCAGGTGTGTGATCAACACTCAGACTTGAGCTCATCGGAACTCAACCGAGAACTCAAGAGAAAATGCTGCATGGGAGGTCTCTCAATAGGCTCAGGGTACCTTGCTGCTGATTTCATACAACTGATAAACCGAGCATCACCTGTCACCAGCAATCTGGAGAAAGCAAGCCCGTGACAGCCCTCCCTTGCCCGCTGTAGCCTTCCACGTGTGGGACACGGAAGGCCTGAGAATGGCAAGTACGAGTCACAGGTTCATGAAGCACCTGTTGTTTCTTCGGAGCCAGTGGCTGCCCCGAAGGTGCGCATTGATGATGATGCTTTTGGCGAGCCCAGAGGAAAGGACATTTCAGGTGGAGTGTTCTTCCCCATGTCAGGTGCGCTCTGATTGCTTGAGTCGGCCACGGGAGAAGAGTGCACCTCCTTGTCAAATTGGCGAGGCTACGTCAGCGACCCAATGCTCGCGGCTCGAAACCTGCAGACTGCAGCCGAGGCCGGAGCATGCCTTTTCTAATCGACAATCGCAGCGCATTTTGGTCCAACTCACATTGTCGCATTGGACTCCTGCCACGGGCGAGGTCCTTCCTGCCGGATATAGCCGGAGATAGCCGGAGAGTCAAAGAATTTCGAGGCCTTGTTCTGGCATTGCTGCAGGCGACGGGGCGTGCAGAGTTTCGGTTCGGCTCGGGCCTGAGCTGCCTGCATCCTCCCTTCAAATCACAGGTTTCCTGGCTTTGGAGCAGGCGTCCTTTTCTGCATTTCTGACCGCTCGGAGGTGAGACAGTCACGGCCATCCGCCGGGTCGGCGGACGAGTTGCAGGTGCCCGGCTCCGATTGCTTGTGGCGGCTGTTCTTTGACAAGCTGCTGCTTCATTCTTAATTTCTCACAAATGCAAAGACGGAGAGAGAAGAAGAAGAACAAGAAGACAAAGAGAGTAAGCTTAAATCTCGATGTCCCGGACCCCGGGCTCGATGGGCGCACACCTAGAGAGTGTTGATGCGTTCCAACTTTTAGAGTCGCGGCGTATGCATTAGTCATGGACGCTTGCAGGCACCAGCAATAAGAGTGACAGTCTCCCCGTATTCGAGTTGTTGCCCCCAGCCTCTGTTGTTCATTGTTCACCCTGAATTCTCTTGGTAGACGGGGACCTCAAACCAGGAAGCACAAGTCCTAGTCGCTGCAAGGCCATGAGTGGCCAACTATCAACTTCGGAAGTGCAACCAGGGCTGAAAACGGCGGCGACCGGCAAGTAAACTGTTTCCGCCTGCTGTGTTCATCTAACCTTGTCACTTCTGCATGCCCGCCCCTAAACCCCAACCTGTGAACTGCTGACCAACCTGACCTCGTGGAGGAGCTCACAAAAGTTGCTGTAGCGAGACATGACAGGAGGCAAACGAAAGCTCAGCTCGGGCACATGTCAATGTGTGCTGAGTTGTTCGTAGTGTTGGGTAGTGTCACCTGTCAACAAGGGGGTCACGCAGCATCAGAGATCACAATCTAGACATCTTTTGCCACCCACACGATGTGGACGAGGTGGGCGGGGACGACGACATGCAAGACTAGAGGCAACCGTTCGACTGAAAGGCCCAGGCAGCAGTCCACACAGAGGCCGCGAAGGGTCAGAGGCCAAGCAACCCCATCGCAAGCACGACATGTGTGAGGTTGGCACAACTCCCTGAGAAAGCTCGTTAGCTGCGAACGGCAAATGGTCCGTTGAAGCACAATGACTTAACAGCTGCTAGCCGAAAGAGCTTGCGCTCCCAAAACTTACATGTAGATCCTTCGCCAGGTATGTGTGGGATCGTTTTGGGGTGTCTTGATTCGCCAGGCATCAGCTGCGCCAGCGGCTTGGAGCTCGACAGTCCGGTGGTCGTCAATGTGGCAGGCCCACACTCAGCGCAGGCCAGCGACAGACACATGTTGCAGTGACACGGGAGCCTTTCCACTTCACTTGTTGCTGGCTTGGGTTAGACTGCGAGTTCCGAAGCATGCAGGCTACGAGGAAATGTTTGTTTCAGAAGCTGGAAGGTCACGCACATGGCCTTCGAGGATCCGGCAGAGAATGACATGGCCATCAGCACCCGACCGATGCGCCAGGCCTCCTTTTGAAGCACCTGGCACCTAGGTGTGACCAGCACGAACTACATGC